AGGTGCTTTAGACCACTGAGCCATCTCACCAGCCCATCCTTAAGTATTTTGGCTCATAGTTGGTTGAACCCAAAATGCTGGTGGTGATTAGCATGGCTTACCTACCAGTCATTGATTACAAGAATAGTGGCATCTTGTACAAAGCTGTGTAGAGGATTGCTGGTGGCTACATGGAAATGTGTATTGACTGAGTCAGGGTTTCTTGGTTGTGTGAGAAACTTGGAGAAGTCGAGCGGATTTGTTTTCAGCCATCTCTGACCCTACAGGAGACTGTTGTTCTAGCAGAGCCCCTTGCTCTGCAGGCTGGATTTCCCAGGTATCATCACAGGGCAAGTCCTGAGCACTTCACCATCATTTCTGTGAAAACAAGAGATGATTGAATCAGTCAAGCATACTATCGAACTTACTACATATGAGGAATATTTTTCTGGAAATAACTATTTTATAACATATAATTAGTAGCTGGAGATTAAAGCGCCTGCAAGCAGGTGCAGAGGCAAGTGGTTTGCTCTCCGTGCTGGCCCCATCCCTGGGGCCCAAGGAGATGGCAGTTGAGATTGGGCAGTTGAGATTGGGCGTGGTGGCACGCGTCTGTAATCCCAGCTCTTGGGAGGCTATAAACAGGTGGATCACTATGAGTCTGATCTAGTAGTGAGACTCTGAACACCCTGTAGACCCTTCTCTAAAATAAAAAAATAAATTAGTAGCTGCATGTGATGATGCACACCTGTGATCCCAGCACTCAGGAGGCTGAGGCAGGAGGATTGCTGAGTTCAAGGCCAGCCAGTAATACATAGTGGGTTTAAGGCCAGTCTGAATTACGTTTGAGGCCCCGTCTCAAAAAAAAAACCCAGAACAAACAACTAGTAAAAGTGTTACTTTACATTTTGCAAGTCTGTTTGGTAGCTAAATGTCTAGCATTTGATATAAAGAATCAAAGGGAAAACTGTGTTACTGAGCTTAGTGAGTTTTCTTCCTTGACAGGCCCTTAATGTGTAGTCTGAAACACTCAGAAAGGTGCTTTGGGGCTGGGCTGATAGCTCCATGGAATAAGTACTTCCTTGGCCAGCGCAAGGGCCTGAGTTCAATCCCTGGTTCTGAAAAAAGAAAAAAAAAAAAAAAAGTACGTGCTTTGTGGACTTGGAGGTGGTAGGGTCAGTTGAGCACTCTCTGGGGGGAGTACACCTGCCCTTGTTACCAAGTCTTGGCCAAGGATTAGCATTTGTGGGACAGTGCTCAGCCAGTTTGTTGGATGATGAATTTAACCCCGAGAGACTTTTGGGCCAGTTTCACTTCTGGTGCATTACTCAACTGTAGTTAAGGAAAAATTGTATAATGTAGTTTAGCTCAAGGTGGTTGAACTAGGTTCTTCTCTGAACCTGGGAATGGGGAGATGGCTCAGTAGAATAAGTGCTTCCCTGGCAAGCTCAAGGGCCTGAGTTCAATCCCTAGTTCCACAAAACAAAACAAAACAAAACAAAACAAAACAACACAACACAGAACCACCTAGCACTTCAATGATTATTGAAAATCCAAATTGAGGGCTGGGGAAATAGCTTGATGGTCTAAGTGCCTGCTTGACAAGTGCAAGGACTTGGGTTTGATTCCCTGATACTGCATGCTGTGCCAACCACTGAAACTGGGCATGGTGGTTCAGGCCTGTAATCCCAGCACAAAGGAGGCTGACACAGGAGAATTGCTACAAGTCCGAGCTGCTTAGCAAGACCCTGTACATAATAAAATAAGTAAAAGATTAAAAAAAATTAAAAAATATACTAGTTGAAGTTTGATATGTGTACTCTAAGAGTTGTCCTGTCAGCAGATGTTCATTGCTTGAAAGGAAATTGTATTTAATCAAAGTACTTTAGAGCACTGTGTATAACAGATGACAGGAAACTTAAAGCAACTCACCAGTATCTGTTTCTTCTCTCAGTTTATCCTCAGCTGTTGTGAAGGAGAAGACCTCCCACATCACTGTAGATATGGACAAAGAAGAAAAGAAAACTATCAACCACAGTCAAGAAGATGAAATGGTAACTGGCTTAGAGTGTTTAGCCAGGAAGTGGGAAGAACTGTCATTGTTTATTTTGGGGAGTAGAGTTTCCTCACCCTTTGGTTCCTTTTTTGTTTTGTTTTTGTTTTTTGTGACAGGATTAGTTATGTAGTTTAGGCTGTCCTTTAACTCTCTATATAACTCACAGAGATCCTCCTGCCTCAGTCTTCTGAGTGCTGGGATTACAGGCATGTGCCACTGTGCTGGACTTTATCATTCTGTTTTTGGATTGAGATTATGTGCTATCTCTGTGTTTACATGTTACATACATGTTTTAATGTGTAGTTCTTTTTCCATTGTAATTCCTTTTTCACTTGTCAGTTGTTAGAATTCAGAGGAAGCCAGGTGCAGTGGTGCGTGCCTGTAATCCCAGCTACTCAGAAGGCTGAGGCAAGGCTACAAATTAAAGGTCAGCCTGGGCAATTTAGTCAGACTGTATAAAATAAAGAATAACAAGAGCTGCGTAAGATATGGGCATACACTCGGTGGTAGAGTGCACCTGGATTTGATCCATCCCTAGTATCGAAAACAAATAGGGCTGGCCAGATAGCTCAGCGGACTAAAGTGCCTGCTTAGGCAGGCAAGCAACTCAGGGTTCAATACCCCCAGTGTGCCATGCCACCCCCGCTCCGGGGTGCACTGAGACAGTGACTGAGAGTGGGCGTGGTGGTGTGCACCTGTAATCCCAACACTTGGGAGACTGAAAACAGGAGGATTACTACAAGTCCGAACTGAGTATTGAGACCCTGTAGACCCTGTACTAAATACATAAAAAAAAAATAAATAAATAAAATTCAAGAGGAAAGAAGTATGTTGTTTTGCATTTGTTGGTTTAAGATGTTAGCTAACACAAATATCCTTTAAAAAAAAAAAGCCACCTGAATTTAGATTAAGGTGTTTAAAATTAGCTTAATTAAAATAATTTATGGGCTGGGGAGCTAGCTTAATGGTCTAAGTGCCTACCTGGCAAGCGCAAGGTCCCGAGTTTGATCTCTGATCTCTGTTACTGAGTGCTGTGCTGACCCCAGGTCCCTGGACATGCTGAGTGGCGCCAAAAGTGGGCATAGTGGAGCACACCTGTAATCTCAGCGCTGGGGAGGCTGAGACAGGAGAATCAGGACAAGTCCGAGCTGCGTAGCAAGACGTTGTATCAAAAGAAAAAACAAAAACAACAAAAAACCCAAGCTTAAAACCTATCCTATCTAATTGCAGTGTTAAAATCTGTGTTATACTTTATAACACAAATAAGATGTTAGTGGGCTGGGGCGATAGAGTCAGATCATTGCTTGCCTGGTAAGTGCAAGGTCCTGAGTTCAACTCCTGGTACTGCAAAAACAAAACAAAAAAAAGATGTTAATGAAAAAAACTGTTAAAATCCTATAACTGAGTTTAACTAATAGCTGTGCAACAGTGTTTATCTTTTGATTTTAACAAATTACCAGGAGGCTCACAATAGCGAAAACTGAATGGAGAGTATACAGGAATGCTCATATTTTTGCAGCTCTTCTTCCTCCTCTCCCTCCTCCCCCTCCTATTTTAGGGAAAGGTCTACAGAGTGTTCAGGGTCTCATTACTAGATGGGACTCGTAATGATCTGCGGGACTCGTAATGATCTGCCTGTTTACAGCCTCCCAAGAACTGGGATTACAGGCATGCGCCACCATGCCTAATCTCTGCAGCTTTTCTATAAATCAGAATTTATTCCAGATTAAAGAGGCTCCTTAACATAAGTCTGCCTCATAGCAGTGTTAATTCTGGAAGAGTTTAAAAGATACAGTATGAAAGAATGAAATTAGAAATATTGTAAGACAAACTGAAAATACTATAAGTGGGAAGAAACTATGAGCATACTGTGTCACGAAAGAACTTAATAAAAATATCAATTATAAAATTATAAATTTACTTAAAAGAATAATTTTGACCACAGTCTTGTCAGAAACAAAATGTAAAAGTAAATTATAGAATGAGAAAACATGTATAGCTTATGTGACAAGATACCAGTGTCCATCATGGAAACATTTTGAACTTACTCATTACTGAACATTTCTGAACTTACTCGTTACTGTGTATTAACCCTGTGGTCACCATGTCTGGGCAGGAGGTTTATGGCTATAATTTATGTCGCTGGAAGCTCGCTGTCGTGGCTTTGGGTGTGATCTGCACTGGCGGGTTTCTCCTCCTCCTCCTCTACTGGATGCCAGAGTGGCGTGTGAAAGCGACCTGCGTCCGAGCTGCGGTCAAGGACTGCGAGGTGGTGCTGCTGAGGACAACTGTACGTCCACAGGGTTCTTGGAGCTGATTTTTCGCGTACACTTTGTTCAAAATGCTATCCGAATGGCCCACGCTCCCCGGGTATGATGGGGAATGTTGAGTCTAGTGTCTCTGTTTGACCTTGTTAGTATAGTGGTTAGAAGTTATAGGGAACTTAGAGAAGATCGGGCCTTCCATCTATGGCTTCCAGTGTCCTAGGCCCGGACTTCTCGTTGGCCAGGAGACCTGGATGTCCATTATGTGGTGCTGCCTTATCTAAGACTTATTTTAGTGTCAAATTTTTTTAACAGTATTAGCTAGAAATTTGTAATAAATATATTTATCAGTGCATACACTTATCACATCTTTATTCTTGTAAGACTTTTTAAAGGCCTAAATACAAGCATTTTGTAAGAGGTTTGATATCTATTAGCAGATAGATAGCAAATGAAAGAATTACTCCTTGATTTTTTTTTTTTTTGTTTGGTTTGATTTTCTTTTTTTTTGAGAAAGTCTCACCTTGTTGTAGTTTAGGTTGGCCTTGAACTTTGAAATTATAGGTGTGTTCCACCACATCCAGTCTCAAGTGATCTTTTGTGGAATATGCTGTTTGTACTAGTTTAGTGTGTCATGAAATGGGAAGTTCTTCTTGAGTTTGTTTTTGTCTAACATTTAATAAGTAGAAAGTGATGTTCTCAATTAGAGATAAGTAGGTAAACAGTGGAAATTAAATAAAAATATAGATAGGTAATTACATAATCATTCTTTTTCTCTCTTTCAAGGATGAATTCAGAATGTGGTTTTGTGCAAAAATTCGCTTGCTTTCTTTGGAGAGTGACTCTTTTTCAAATTCCAAATCCATAGTTAATGAGGTTTGCAAGGGCCGTGGAGTTCACTTAACTGAGCCTCCAGCTAGAGAAGATCGGCGTGAGCCCAGTAAATATTTACAGACTCATTCACAGCAGGTATTGGACCTAGTGTCACAGTGTTTTGAGGAAACCAGAATTGTTAACTTTTCTTAGTAGCATGTAAATCTTATAATTTTGTGCAATTGCTACTTGAGGTAAATTTTTGTGTGTGTAGTACTGTTACTGTGCCTCTGACCTATATCCCCAGCCCTGTAGCACTGTTATTAAACACAAGGTGTTAATAGACACAGATTACCTGCTAATTCAAGTGGTGGTAAATGCTTTCATGTAACATTTTTGTGTGTTCTGCAGATTCGTTATTTCACCCACCATAGTGTAAAATATTTCTGGGATGATACCATTCACAATTTTGATTTTTTAAAGTAAGTATCTTACTTTTTTTTTTTTTTTTTGGATTATATTCTCAAAATGTTGTAGGTAGAAAAGAATATATATTTTTTAAAGATGAGTCCATTCTAATGTTACATAAAATTGAAGAGATATTTATTGTATAACTTATATTCATTTTTCCATTTAAAAACTTTACTTTGAAGACTAATATGACCATTTAAAAATAAATACCCCCTACAAGTTGTACCCTCGCAAACTCTACTTAAAAGTTATAAGCTGGGTGGGAGAGATAGCTCAGTGGCATAAGCGTTTGCCTATTAAGCACAAGGTCCCCAAGTTTGAAGCCCCATGCTGGACCACAAGGAAAAAAAAAAAAAAGCTGTATGATGCAAAACTCCTTATAGTTCTGAGTTATTTTTACTTTGACATGAGAACATAGCCTATGTTTTAACTTAGGTTTTTGTATGTGTGGTGTGGGAGATCAAACCTTGCACCCTAAGCAGGTGCTCTATACTGAAATGCACCCCCAGGCTCTGTGTTTTAATTTTTAGTATCTGAATTACTGCTTCCTAATCTGTTGACCATCCCATCCAGTTGTGCTGGTGTATGAAGAGTCAAATAATAAGACAGACAAACTTACTTTACTGTGTGGATCAAAACATGAGACATTGTTGAATGTCTAAAGCCTCTGGATAGGAGAATTGGAGTAAACTTCCAAAATTTTTTGAAGAGCTCAAACAGTGTTACCAAATGATGATTAAAATTTTTTGTTCTTATCTGTTCCATTCTTTTTTAAAAAGATAGTTGGTATTTTACCCAGGTTGGCCTTTAACTCTTGGGCTCATGTGATTTTTTTTCTGTGTTAGCCTTCCAAGAATTCTATTTTTATTGCTATTACAGTGGTTGTTATAATCATTCATTAAATATCAGCTTTAAAGTGCTATAGGAGTTCTTAGTTCTAGCAGTTAAAGATTCATAAATTGTTAAAAGAATGCAGTGCCTTTATTTTTCCTTAGATACACTTAAAAATGGGAATATTGTGGAATAGGCCTGGGTATTTTCAAATACCTACATCTACAGATACTTTCTGATCAAGTGGGAACCATTGTTTTAAAGAAAATTGCCAGTGGCCCACCATTTTGTTAAAAAGTGTTATTTTGGTCCTTTCTCCCTTCTGAACAATTTATTTACTTAAGTGGGTAAAAATATCAAGTATTTTCCATGGTCTCTAAACCATAGAAACTTGTAGCAATAGAGCATGGAGCTTAGCTTTCTATTTGAAAAAAGTAGGAAAGTATTGAAATGAAGTATGAGTATGATTCTCTGTTTTATAGTTCTATCTATGACCAGTAGTAGTTAAAATAAGCATTCTTAAGACATTTGGGGGAAAAGCAGATACGTTAGTTGGGTCCCAGTTAGGCTCGTTAGAGGTGCCCAGTGTTTCCGTGACTCACAAATTCTGTGTTTCTCACCTAGGTCTGCCCTTTTTCAAGGGAGAATTAGGATTGGTGCTTTGTGGAGACAGATGCAAATGAATAGGATTTTTTAGTGTGAAGCTAAAATTGTAAAGGATAAACTGTAGATAAAAAGTAAAATTTTTTTTCTTTAGTTTGGAATTGTCAAGTTATTTGTGCTTTACTGTAAATTGTTGTTTAATTATTGACTCTTACAACTCTGGATAGCCTTAAAGGATAATGAATGATATTACTTGAACTTGAGTATGTAGAGCCATCTTGCCATGGAATGCATTGGATAACTTAGTTGTCATGTCTGAGGCTTAGACTGCTTAATAATGTTTATCCTAAGAATTTGAGATTTTAAAATTCTCATTCTCTCTAAATTTTTGTTACAAGTTTCTAAGAAGTTTTGTAAGGAAGTTACATTTCTAAAATCAGACGTGTAGAGAAATGAGGCATTAAGATATTTGGCTATTTTAAACTTTGTTTAAAGTAAAAACTTTGGATTTATTTAGGGGACTGGATGAAGGTGTTTCTTGTACGTCAATTTATGAAAAGCATAGTGCAGGACTGACAAAGGGGATGCATGCCTACAGGTAACTTTTATCCAACTAAAGTTAGATCTGTTCTCAAAGTTCCTAAATTGAGACATGTATGTAGTCATCCCTTTACTATATAGTACCTGTTAACAGGTTTTAAATATCACAGATGAGTTGAGAACTGATTATTTTATGCAAATAAATCATGAAAATGTTAAAGCTAATTATTGAAGTTTCTATCTTTGAAATTCCAGTTTCATCTCTCTGAAAGGTACACAGCTTCCCACAATTTAATATCGTTGAAAATGGGGTGTGGTGTATTTGCTGGAGTGTCATTATTTGCTTGAGAAAAAGTTTTATCTTTTTGGTCTTATGTGAAATAGTGGTATGTCTTGTAAACTGATAAAATCTTGGATTTTTTTGAAATATATTGTGATTGTAGACGTGAATTTAGATTTTTTTTTTTTTTTTTTTTGTGAAACCGGGGATTGAACTCAGGCCCTTACGCTGAAGCACTTACTCTACTGAGCCATCTACCTGGCCCCATGAATTTAAATTTTTTTTTTAATTTTTATTTATTTATTTATTTATTTATATTTTTGTGTGTGTGTGTCCAGCTCAGCCCACCAGGGGGCGGGGCGGGCTGGCATGTGGTGCTGGGGGATTGAACCGCGGTCCCTGTGCTTTGCTCAGCTTAGCTTGTTCTAAGTAGGTGCTTTAGACCACTGAGCCATCTCACCAGCCCCATGAATTTAAATTTACCACAGTGAAAACTTATAAATTGGGAGTCATCGTTTTTTCATTGTTATTTTTTGTTAAAGCATAAAAGTATGCTATTCTATTAGACATTTTAAAGAAAAATGCCAGTTTTGCATTAAATTAGAATTTTTCTTTTAGTATTTCTCTATCATGTTGTTTGAAAGGTACAATGAAAGGAGACATTCAGGCTTAGATTCTGTAAAAGGAGAAATTATTGCAGTATTAAGTACAAAGATAAAGAATGAACTTGTTTTCTTTTTGACAGTATTGGGGATTGAACCAAGAGTGTTTGCACTGAGATGGATCCCCATCATGGTTTGTTTTTATGATGCTCAGGCTGGGCTTAAACTTGAGCTCCTGCTATGTCTATGTCAGGGAATATTGATTGGGCTTATAGGCAGCAGCAGCACCACACTAGGCTGAGCAGTGATTTGAAAGCATATTTTTTCTAAGAGTCAAATGTATAATCTTCTGAAATAAACACTCTCAATACAGTATTCTTCTTAGAAAAGTAGCATAGGAATTTCTTACATCTCTTTCTATTTCAGAGTTACCATTCAAACTTTGTGATGACCTATTTTGTTCACAGGTAGAACAGACAGCCTTTTGCTTACATGGTTATTAATTAGTGAGAAAGTTACATGTCATTTACTAAAGGTGTGAGATAATGAAATAAAATGCAAGTAGTACAGTTATACATTGCTGACTTCCTCGATTTACATACTACAGGTAGAGAGGAGTCTTTAGTGTGAAAAGCATGAATTCAAGTTATCCCATGGTGTGAACTTACCTAATGCAACATGTTTCCTGCATTATGCCATTTTACGTTATATACTGAAATGCAATTATTGTGTTTTCCTGTTATAGAAAATTGCTTTATGGAATAAATGAAATCACTGTGAAAGTGCCTTCTGTTTTTAAGCTTCTAATTAAAGAGGTAAGACTGTTGTATATAGCTCAGCATTTGAAATCAATAGATTTATCAATTTGGAAAGTCATGGTTAATGAGATAGTCTTGGTTTTCTGTTTCCTAACTTCTCTTCGCTTGCCATTTTACTTGTGAGAGTAAAAATATGCTCTGTGAGGGAATTTTTGGGGATGAATTTTATTTTGTCTAATTTAGTTTTTCTTATCCTCTTAAAAATATATCATGTTTTCTTCTCATGGTGTTTGGTGCCTTACCAGACTGAGAGCATTAGAAGAAGGTAAAAGCATAGGAACATGGTGTGATGATGTGAGGAAGTAGCGCAGTGAGAACTCAGTTGTGCGGTGCCCGAGAGGCGAATGAAGGATCCTAGCCCAGAAAGGACCAGAGCACATGGCTTTGACTAGGCACCAAAGTGGGCAGTCTTTGTTCTGCATCTTGGCTGTCATTCTGGGGTTAGGTGTAATTGTAAATGGGTGAATACTTTTGAGTGGCCATGTAACATATGCATTCTGTAGCATAGTGTGATGATGAAGGATTGGCAATGTTTTTTTTTTGGTGTTGTTGTTTCATTGGTGACTTTTTTGTTTTTTTTTTTTTTTTTTTTTTTCAGAGCTGGGGATTGAGTTCAGGCCCTTCACCATGTGAGGCCTGAGTGTACAACCCCCACTCTCGCAGCACCCCAGACTCACACACTGCCATCCTAGTAGTCAGCTTCGAGTTTCGGAAACACTTTCTCTGAAAAGATTTGGGTGCTCCTAAGTACAAGGCCAGCCTGGACAGCTAACCAATTTAATGAGACCTAGTCTCAAAAAATAAAAGGCTAAGGCTGTAGGTAGTGTGAGGTCCTGGGCTCCCTCACCAGTGCCCCCCTCCAACACCTTTCTAAGTTGTTCTTTTATTTATACACTTAGAAAAGTTTTCTAATTATTTCATTTAATTTTGAGGTAAAGTGGTACTATATCAGAGTGCTTTGGAAAAGTATAGAAGCTTCAATTTTATGACTTGGGGAGGGTATTGGAGATGTGATTGACATGTATGAGGCCCTGGTTTAATCTCCGTTTCTGCCTCTCCCTCCTCCAAATAAATTTTTTTAAAAAGACATCAAGAGTTTATTAATAAAGTTGATAAAATACAATGAAACTTGGGTAGATCAAGTTTTTTTTTTTTTTTTTTTTTTTTTTTTTAATGTATTTGGTTGTTTTGTTTTGTCAAGAATGAAACTTAAGACCTTGTGCTTCCCAGGCAGGTGCTGTGCCACTGAGTTCAATCCCCAGCCCCATAAATGAAGTTTTTCGTCAAGGATCTGTTACTTATTTTCACTCAGAATTTAGTTCTTACTATTTTCTAGTTAGAAAGCACAACAGTTTGGCCCATCATCTCATATTCGTCTTTCCTTTGCAGCCCAGTGAACTTTTGACATACATTTCTGTTCTGCATTAATAAGTAAATATTTATTTTGTTTGGTGAAAAGTTTGATATCTTTTATTAACCCAGAGCATAGTAATTAATGCAGATAAATGCACTTTATTCATAAAGCAAAACAGAACAGCTAAATTCACATCAGCTTATTCTAGCTGAGTCTATGTTTAGTTTTGGTATGAGTCTAAATGAATACATAAACTTTAAATGTAAGTTAGCCAAATTATAGTGGTGGACTGGTAAAGAATACTACATACGTCCTGCTCCTCATGGTGTGTGTTGTCCTTGGTTACTATAGAGCTTATCCTATATGTACCTGGGTGGTTACTTTTCAAGTGAACATGTAAAGATATGGTGTAAGTATCTCATTGAATTTGTCTTTAATCTTATATTTTTTAGGTTCTGAACCCATTTTACATTTTCCAGCTATTTAGCGTTATATTGTGGAGCACCAATGAATACTACTACTATGCTTTAGCCATTGTGATTATGTCCCTGGTATCCATTGTAACCTCACTGTATTCCATTAGAAAGGTAAGTCAATTTATTACGAGCTTCACACAGTGTTTATGTTCTGTGATAACATGTGAGGTATGCAGAGTAGTGATGGGCTCAGAGTAAATGTTCAGGGCCATGACTAACTTACTCGCCTGGATGTAGACTTTTGTCTCTTTCTGCTGCTTTAGTTGGGGGAGACAGATGCCTTCTAGAGTCAGCTCACTGGCTGCCTGCTTTGAAGCTGAGGGACCTGGCCTTGGTTGTCACAGACTGCAGCACTGAGAGGCTGATTCCTTGTCTCCAGGCCTTCTCAGACTGCTTCTCTTTCCTAAGCTAAAACAGTGAATATTGCTTTTGACTCTTAGTATGGTATGAAGGCAGAACACCAGGCACTTACTATATTAGTGTATTTTATTTCTAGTATGCTGCGTTTCAGGGTCTTGAGGAGTGGGTTCATCTGGCTCGTTTGGTTTTTTTTTCTCCCCTTTTTAGCAATATGTTATGTTGCATGACATGGTGGCAACTCATAGTACCGTGAGAGTTTCAGTGTGCAGAGTAAATGAAGGTAAGTACTTTGGTGAGTGTTCAAAGAGTAAACCCCGAACCTCCAAACCATTAAGTACTGTTGTGTGAAGTAGGCCTAGTGCATTTATTCATACACATATACAGACACACTCACACATAGTCATTTAAGAATTGAAAGTGCATGTTTAGATTCCCAAGTTTTCGTCAAAACTGTTCACTTATATTTCTCTATATCTCTATCTCTTGTCTGTCTGTCTACTTAATTTTTCCAGTACTGAGGATTGAAAGTAGGGCCTTTGCATTCAGCTCTATCTCCAGCCATTTTTTATTTTGAGGCGGGGTCTCATGTCATTGCTCCAGCCAGTCTTGTACTTGGCATTCTTCTGTCTGAGGCTCACAGAGTGCTGTGATTATAGGTGTGCACTGCCATACCCAGCTTCTTTTTTTAATAGTCTTGCCAGAAGGACAGATGATGAACAGTACCAATAAGCATGATAAATGTGATGTTAGGGCAAGGTGAGAGAACTCACATACTAGGGAAAGCTTATTTACTGTTTTGCCAGGGATGGGTTTTATTTTTAAGGAGGCATACAGGGATTTATTAGGAAGAATTTAAAGTACACACTCAAAATGGACTGCAGGGCCAGGGAAGATAGCTCAATGGCATAAGCACCTGCCTCACAAGTGCAAGGTCCTGAGTTTGATCACAAACACAAAAAATGGACTGCAGACCCTCCAAAAAAGGCCAGAGATCGCTGTTTTGATGAAGTAATGTTACTTGGTTACTATTTGAATTAGCTATATAAGTAGATGAGAAGTTGGGACAGTTAGGGTGATCGACCTGAAATTAGAGATGGATGGTGCAGCCATTATAAAACCTGAAAGAAATTCAGCATGGCTCATAGAGTAACTGCATGGATGATGGATGGACAAGGTATTTACTCTCAATCCACGAAGCACTGGAAAGCCATTGAAGGGTGTAAAGCAAGGGACTGCTATGGTCATATTCGTCTTTTGGCAGAGAATCATGACTTCCATGTTTCCACAGGTTTCACAGGGGTGATGCTGAAGCCTGACCTCAGTCAAGATGGGGGTTGTGGAGACCAAGAGAATACAATGGGTTGAGGAGAGACAGCCATGGCATGAGTAGCACCTGGCTATTGATGAGTGTGAATTCCTGGAGAGATGTCAGGATATTAGTGCTGCTAGGTTACATAGAGAAGCATTGGAAGAGACGTAGGATTTCCTGGAAGGCAGATGTTTTGGATGTAAAGTTGGGTGACTGTGCAAGAGACACGGGGGTCAGCACAGCATACTGAGCCTTAAAGGAGGAGCCCACCATCTCTACACAGTCCCAGTCTGTCTCCTATGCCCATGCACCTGTCCTTCCCGTGCTTCCTGGTTGGGGTATCAGCACCCCCTGCTGCAGAGTTGGGGTTGTACACTACCCTTCCTGCTCTGCAGTGCTGAAGATCTTTTTTCCTCCTCACCCTCTGTATAGCTTGCAGAAACCTTCATACTTGTGGTCTACTGGAAAGGACTGGAATTTCAACCTATGAGGGTTTTTTTTTGTTTGTTTTGTTTTTTTTTTGTATTAGGACTGGAATTTCAAGAGCTGCTAAGGCTTCAAGAAAAGTCAGTCAGTGTATTTTATTTTTAAAAATCTTTTTATTTATTTTTTAAATGTATTTAGTATAGGGTCTACAGAGTCTCACTACTCAGATCAGACTTGTAGTGATCCTCCTATTTTCAGACTCCCAAAGTACTGAGATTACAGGTGTGCACCACCATGCCCCGGGAACAGGGCAGGCACGGCACACCAGGGATCAAACCCCAGTCCCTGCGTCTGCCTACGCAGGTGCTTTAATCTGGTGAGCTATCTGGCCAGTCTTAATCAGTGTATTTTAAAATAGAGGTTTTAAGATAGTACATCTATATTTTAAATACTGTTCATTAAAGTTATTTCAGTAATATTTAGTAGTCTTTTTTTCTTAGAATATTTGTCCTTCAGACCAGCAGCACAAAACAATAGTTTTTCCCTCATGCATATATTTACTTTTTTTTTTCCGGAACCGGGATTGAACTCAGGCCCCTGTGCTTGCTAGGGAAGCGCTTACTGTACTGAGCCATCTCCCTGGCCCTCATGCATATATTTACAAATGAATGTTACTTCTGAGAGCAGCATTACTTAAATCTGAGGGGGAAAACAGTATGAGGAAGAAAAAGAATGCCTAAATGCAAGGTCACCTGAAAGAACCCCTCCCCCATTATTTTCGTGTCTTTTTGAGACAGGGTCTCAACATGTAGTTCAGATTGGCCTTGAACTCTCTGTGTAGCCCATGTTGGCCTCCAACACAGCAGTTCTCCAACCTCAGCCTCCCCAGTGCTTTAATTGCAGGTGTGCGCCTGTATCCCTGGCCAAGAAAGGCCTTTTTCTCTGAGATGCTTTTAAAGTTTTAGTTAAATTTCCAGGGAGATATTATAGTGTTTAATTTATTTAATACATGTATGGATTTTGTGGTACTGAGCATGAAATACAGAGCCTCACATATGCTAGGAAAATGCTGTACTACAAAGCTGCAAATCCAGCCCTATTTAACAAGTTATAGTCATACTGAAAATAATCTTAAAAATCCTAAGGGTGGGCTGGCCAGATAGCTCAGTGAATTAAAGCGTGCTGTCGTGGCCCTGCCCCCAAGACTCCCTGAGAAGGAGATTGAGGCATGGTGGCGTGTGCCTGTAATCCCAGCACTTGGGATGGTGAAAATAGGATCACTACAAGTCCAGTCTGTGTAGTGAGATCCTGTAGACACTGTACTAAATACATTAAATTAAAAAAAAAAGAGGGACATTGAGAAAGCAGTGAGATGTTTTATAAATAGTGGCAGTCAGGAGAATATTGTAAATATGCTATCGAAAAGAATGTGCTAAAATTTTTCCAAGTTTCCTTCTGTTTCCATGGCATTACGGAAACCAGAGTTTATTTCACCTGTTTGAGCAGGCCTGGCTGTTGGGACCCACGGTGTTTATTTTCTGAGCTGGCTGATGCCTGAGATCAGTGGGCAGTTGTCATGAGCATCAGAGTGCAGAGGGATGTGGCATCACTCGTGCTTGTTAGGAACCTCACCCTGTTCTGAACCCTGTTACCTAACCCTATTTGTCAGAAATTTTTTTTTTTTAAATATTTATTTATTTATTTTGTGTGTGTGTGGCCAGCTCAGCCCACTAGGGGGCGGGGCTGGCTGGCATGTGGCGCTGGGGGTTTGAACCGCGGTCCCTGTGCTTTGCTTGGCTTAGCTTGTTCTAAATAGGTGCTCTAGACCACTGAGCCATCTCACCAGCCCCAGAATTTTCTATTTGTGGGGACTTCTGTATTAACCCTATTCAGTTATTAATTCTGGGGGATTAGGAGTCCTTTGTGTAGACGATTTGTTCCTAACTTAGTGAATATTGGTCTCATGTTTTTTTTCTTTATATTCAGAAATAGAAGAAATCTTTTCTACTGACCTTGTGCCAGGAGATGTCATGGTTATTCCCATGAATGGGACAGTCATGCCTTGTGATGCAGTTCTTGTTAGTGGCACTTGCATTGTGAATGAGAGCATGTTAACAGGTGAGTGAAACTGAGTAATCGGCATGGCATGTTTATTCGGAATGGTGATAAATAATGTTAAGTAGTTACTGCTAAAATTCTGTCAAAATCAGTCTGTCCTTTGTATTCTTTATTGGCTGTTGGAGATTTTTCCCCCCTAGGTAGTGTGACCTTGTATCCTATGTGGTAGGTTTTGGCTGCCTGTCCCATCTGTCTCTGCTACTCCTGGCATGAGGAAATGGTGTAAGAGAAGGAGGAACAGTTGCTGTAGAGAATATGGAATATTCACTTCCCTCCTTGATTTGTAAAAAGGCTAAATAAGGATTTTATATTTTCATTAAAGTGGAGAGAAATAGATTTTCAAATGACCTCTCTTTGCAAATTTCTAATCTTTTTTTTTTTT